AGAGTAATTTGATAATGAATCTCTACAAATTTCTGTTGGTTTTAACAACTGTTAAATTCTACATCACTTTCCCATATTGATCTTCCATGCTCTGTTGTTTTGGTTTTTTAACAGGGAACCACTCCCTTCACCATATGGTCCAGCCACTATCCACAGTATTCTCTGCTTATTTCACCATCATGTAACACTCTCCTCTTCTGGGAACTAGATGACACAGTGACATGTGAATGTTGCTCACAGTGCAACATGAATTTCTGCTGATTTTTCTGGCACAGTGCAGCAGGGGCTGACCAGGGCAGCCTCCTGCATAAAACATCTGCTCTGCAGCCCTGTTTGCTTTCCAAATCCTCCATAGTTGCAAAGACCAACCTGCACAGAATTGGCACAGAGAGACTCCCTTTGGGTTCCCAGGCAGAGGCAAATCCTTCAGTTGGAGCCCTTGGTATTTCTAGTGAATACTTCAAACTACTTTCCTGAATTTTGAGTACTTTGGGTGCCCCTGCTTAGCACAGCCCAGGTCAGCCTATGGTCATCCGGGTATCCATTTGGAAGATGCGAGCACAAAGTGATTAAGAAAAGCAAATCCATATATGCCATCCAGCAAACTAAAAATGTGGCATTTCTAGTAAGGTCCTTAGTTATGGAAAGAACTTTGCAGGGATTCACCAAGCATTAAAAAATCACATGCATGGAGTAAACTCATGGCCTACCTCTTCTTAATCCAATCTCATTTTACGTGTTTACAGCAGTCTGTAAAATGCCTAACGCTCATAATTTTAAACCATGAGCCTGACTCTGCAGGAGCTAATTGGCCAGAAGACCTGTTGCCATTTTATAAGAGACTTAAGAATTGGGTCTGTGTTGGTTTTTACAAGTCTTCTTTCCTTTAGCTGCAGCATGCCCAATAACAGCTATGTGCTGATTAAAAACCTGCCCACTTTTAACCACATTTTTAGAGTACAGCTGAGTTCGGTGAATTCCTCTGAAGTGATTAAAAGAAAGATCTTATTTTTCTCTGTGTAGGAGTAATTACTTTGCCAGGCATTCAATAGTGTTGTCTTGACAAAAATCATATTTACAGTTTGATGAGCGTTCACTATTGCTGTATGATTAAAGAAGTCAACGCTTCTTTACATGAATATGTCTCTGCACTCAACATTTTGTTTTTATTTGTGGTGAGATATACCACCACAGGTAAAGGCATCTCCTCTTCATTCTGGAATGGGAGAGAGGGAAAAGGAGCTACAACCCCTCCTAAGAATACAGGCTTCAAGTGCCTCTTGGACATCAAAACCATCTCATACCTTCTTCGGGGCAAAAACCCCCACTGTTTCTCCGAGAGCAGTCAAAATCCCCAGCTCTGCCACTCTTGCCTGTTGTTTCTTGTCAAGGTAAAACTTTGCTGCACTTCAAACCTTCGAAACGGGGCAAGAATGAACTGAGCCAAATCTAACAATAACAATCAATACACAAATTGGCGAACATTGCACAGGTTATTCTGACATGGGAAGACAAGGAGTGGGGATGTGCCCAACGACAAGGTGCCGCTATACGCCTGCAGTATCCCAGCTCCTCAGAACTGTATCTAACGGGACACTGCTCCTACAATCACATGGCTCTGGGAAGTTGGTAGAGTAGAAAACATATACATACACAGCGTGGGGCTCAGCAGGCCAGCTGGCATCGCTCTTCACACAACCCAACTGAGAGTCATCTGCCGCCAGTGAAGGAGGCCCAAGTGCCCTTCTCCTATATGGGCCAGGTGTCCCACAAACTTCAAGTCGACGTATTTCGTATGTGATTAGGAAAGACGGCTAGAGGCAACCTTTTCGTACGAATGCGAAGTATAGACCTGCTCTGAAGAGGGGTTGGAGTGAACTGGAGAACTCTGTAGCTTGTGTGAATTCTTCAGAGAAGGTTTTTAAAATGCACAGCTGCATGGAGACCTCACCAAGAATTCCTGACTGGAGAACCCACTGCACTCTTACCTCTGCAGCTGCCAAAAAGCAGCTAGTGAAAAAATACGTCTTTTCCTGTCAGTAAGGGTAGTAATTCCCTTCCCCAAGCCAGTGTGAGTAGCCCACAGTTGTTAACTAGTTTAGGCAAAACAAATAAAGTTGTGTCTCTGTTTTCAAGAAAATCTGACAGCATGGAGAATTGAGATTGATATTAAAGTGCCGCGAAAATAGCCTAGAAATCTTGGTGGGAGAGAAAAGATGAGGAGAACAGTTTACTGGGTTGGATACCCAGAGCGAAAGGGAACAGGGAGTCAGGTAAAAGAAAAGAGGGTGTTTTTTTAAGCCATGAAGACACATCTGATCTTGCAGATCAATTCTAGTAAGTTAAGAGCAGAAGGAGCAATAAGGGAATGAAGGACAGAAAAGCTGACTTTCACTGTGGCAGAAGGCTAAATGAAAAAGGACTACAACGTGTGATTTGAGTGAAGAAATTAGGCAGTGCAGGCTTGGAAATTAAAGACGGGGAAAGCAGGCGGATGAATGGAAAACACTTTTGTAAAAGAACCTGAATACGAAACTTCTAGCAACTGATGCCGTAACTAGTACCAGTGCCTGGGAAAACAGGGGTTTTGGTGCTTTCTGCTCCTTGCAGAACTCTTATCATATAAAAATCTGGTCTGTATTTTTCAAAACCCTAAATATTGGAGGGGAAAACGTTCTCTGTCAGAGAGCCCTTTTTGATTTTCTTCATTAATCAAGTGTAAAATAAACTGTTCAGTATTGCAGAAATATTTGCGAAGTACCTGAAGCACAGAGCAAGGGCCCAGTCTCGACGGGCTTACAGTTCGAAACCCACCACAAAGCCAGTGGACGTTCTGAACACCTCAAGACCGTATGTCGTGATGGAACATAACGCAGTGACGGAATGCCAGCCTTCGGTGTTCTTGAGCGGGGTATTTCCCGCAAACCCTGGCTGCGTTCAGTCTCTGTTCTTGTTTCCTGACAGAGGAAGAAGGACCACACGACGATCGGGGGCCTCTTTGTGGAAATGGGGTTAGGGGTCTTGGCAAATCAAGGTACATTCATCTGGTTTACCCCCCTGACACACGCTTGGGTACCCAGAAATTATTTGTACCAGTTCAGTTCCTCTAATTGCTTTCAGATCTAGGGTAACTTTTGTTTCACTAAAATTTATCTGTCCCCAGCAATTACTCTGTTTGGTGCAGAGAGCTCTGCTTCTGCTTTAGATTTTCAGGGAAAGAAAGAAAATATATATTAAGTCTCAGTTCCTTCGGTTAGAAAATTACCCTAAGTATACATTCAGTTTAAACTGTCTGAAAGGAAAGAAGAAACTTTTCCTTGATACAGATGAATGTTTTCCTTGTAATCTAACAAGAAATTGAATGAATGTGGGTGTAATTTTAGATCCCAAATCAAATTCTGAACCAAAACCAATTTCTCAGAGTCCTTTCATTATCTGAAAATAAAAGGCAGCAAGACAGCTGTCATAAACAAGTAATTATTTTAATTTTAATGCCACACTTCGTGGCCTGACAGCAAACCCCCTAGTTGCAGCCTGGCCTTTCACTTATCTGGTTTGAAATAAAAGTATAAATCATGCTAAAGCAATTGCACATGTAAATGAATCCTCTGGAAACTGGATACCTTCGCGCTGAAATAACTAGAGGCTCTCCTTGCGGCGTTACTCCGGCGGGATCTAGAGGGTGGAAATTGCGGCTGGAACTCCGGAGGGATCGCATGCCGCCGCCAAAAAAACGTGCGCGCCGGCTCCCCCCTCACCGACTTCGGGCTCTTCGGTCGGGTTTACCTCGTAGTCCGCTCCCGCAGCCTCCCCGTCAGACCCCGGGTGCTCCGAGAGGTCAGCGGGGCGCGGGGGGCGCCCCACGAGCGCGAAGGGGCCGGACCCACGGGCGGCC